CTCTCTCTCTCTCTCTCTCTCTCTCTCTCTCTCTCTCTCTCCTCTCTCATGCTAGAGATCCAGTCATGGTGCTGGGAATGCAGTCAGTGGTATCCTAGAAAGCATTGGGTCTTCTATGTCATTTACTCACGGAACCTTAGCAATCACACAGCGTGAGCAGAGTGCATGTATGTGACCTGTGAAGACCTTCCACCTGGCTACTACTGAGGTATCAATCCTTAAGGCCAGTGGAAACAAACAAACAAACAAAAAAACTCAGGGCCTCACACAGGCCAAGCAAGGGCTCCACTGATCAGCTATACCCTCAGCTCAGGAATCTTTTTTTTTTTTTCCTCATTTTTTGAGATAGGGTCTTAATGTAGCCCAGGCTTGCCTCCAAACTAATTATATAGCTGAGGATAACCTTGACTGAGCCTCCTGCCTCCACCTCCCTATTGCTGGGATTACAGAAGTATGTCACTACACCAGCTTATGCAGTGTTGGGGATCAAACAAGGGTCTTGTGCATGCTAGGCAAGCACTCTCTCCACTGAGCCCCATCCCCAACTTGGAAGTATCTTTAATGAGCCTAATGATGCTGAGAAAGAACCCGAAAGCTGTCTGGAACATAATCTTCAGGTAAACCGATGCCAAATATGTGTGTGTGTGTGTGTTATATGCAATGCCATGGCACTTGTGTGCTGGTCAGAGGACAACTTGTGGGAATTGCTTCTCTCCTGCTGTGCAGGTCCTGGACATTGAACTCAGGTCATCAGGTTTGGAAGTAAGCACCTTTACTTGCGGGCCCTCCTAATTTAAGTAGTTATGTATTATGTAATGTCAATCAGAATGTATATAAGCAGCACATTGGAGCCCAGACCTAAGCTGTTAACTGCTTAGGGTGAGACTAAGGGACGTGTTTAAGAAATACATGGTTCAGGGGGCTGGAGAGATGGCTCAGCTGTTAAGAGCACTGACTGCTCTTGCAGAGGGCCTGGGTTTGATTCCCAGCACCCACATGGCGGCTACAAACCGTCCTTAACTCCAGTTCCAGGGGAATCCGAATTCCTCTTCTGACCTCTGTGGCACTGCACGACACGGGTGCACTCACATACATGCAGGCAATACACTCACACATAAAACAAAAATAATAAAATATTTTTTAAAAAATACATGATTCAGGGGCTGGGGAGATGGCTCAGCGGTTAAGAGCAATGGTTGCTCTTGCAGAGGGCCCAGGTTCAATTCCCAGCACCCACATGGTGGCTAACAGCTGTCCTTAACTCCAGTTCCAGGGGAATTAAACACTCTCTTCTGACCTTCTCGGGTATTGCATGACATGGGTGCACTTACATACATGCAGGCAATACACCCATACATATAAAATAATAAACATTAAAAGAAATACATGATTCAAACCAACATGTACTATGTGACACATGGCAAAATTACCAAATTAGAACACCGAAAGCAGAGCAGGTGAGTGGAACATGGGAGGCATCAATTTAGAATTCATGCTGAACCAGCTATAGTGTCACACAAGCAGACCAAGAGGTCTATCTTTATTCATGAACCTGCATAGAACCCAGGGCCCTCATCCATGCTAGGCAAAGGCTCTACTACTGAGCCACACTCCCAGCCCTTCAATCCTAGTCTTACAAGGGCTTGCCAAATTGCCCAAGTTGGCCTCTAATTTGTGATCCTCCTGCCTTAACCTCCTGAGTCAAGGATTATGTGTGTCCCAGCACATCCGGCTCCATGGGTTCTTCCTAAGCCTCCATAATGGCTCCTTCACCTTTACTGGCTCTAGTGATGGTCCTATTGTTACCAAGTTCTTTCTCTTAAATTTTGGCTTCTGAACTTGGGAAGAGATTAAATAGCTACCTGTGTTTCCCAGGGGCAAGCACAGGAACACGGTCACTGACATATCACATCTTCAGGTAAACTATTTTTAGTGTCTTCTTAAAAGTTTTTTGATTTGTTGGCAGTTGCTTGCAGTGCATCCATCACAAAGCATTGCAGCCTGCCCAATTTCTAAGTTTCTTGGAAAAGCTTAACTTTTATTTAAATTATTTTTTATTTAGGAAATTAGACTGGCCTCAATCTCACAATGGTCTGTCTGCTTCTGCTTCTTAAATGTCTGGATTAAAGGTGTGAGCCACTATGCCTGGCCCTTCCCTTTGTTTTGACCTTGCTATGTAGATTAGGCTAGCCTTCAGCTCAGAAATCTGACTGCATTTGCCTCCCATCTCCCAAGCCACTATGCCCGGCTTCCTTTTCTTTTTACCTGTTTTTCTTTAAGATACACTTTCCCAAACACTCTCTCTCTCTCTCTCTCTCTCTCTCTCTCTCTCTTTTTTTTTCACACACACACACACACACACACACACACACCCTGCTTAGGCCATGCAGCTGCTTGAGGCTTGCTTGTTCTCTTTCTTTGAGACAGGGCCTCCCTATAGCCCCAACTGGGCCTGGAACTTGCTATGTAGACCAGGCTCTGCTTACCTCTGCCTCCCAAGTGCTGGGATTAAACGCTTGTGTCACCATGCCAGGTTCTGATTTTCTTTTTAATATTTTATTATTTTTATTTCTTTTATGTGTATGAGTGTATTGCCTGCATGTATGTGAGTGCACCCATGTCGTACAATGCCATGGAGGTCAGAAGAGGGCTTCAGATTCCCCTGGAACTGGAGTTAAGGTCCGATCGTAGCCGCCATGTGGGTGCTGGGAATCGAACCCAGGTCCTCTACAAGAGCAGTCAGTGCTCTTAACGGCTGAGCCATCTCTCCAGCCCCATAGGCTCTGCTTTTTAAAAACATCTGCTGGGTGTGGTGGTGTACACCCTTGATCCCAGCACTCAGGAGGCAGAAGCAGGCGATCTTTGTGAGTTCCAGGCCAGCCTGGTCTATATAGTAAGTTCCAGGACAGCTGGGGCTACAGGGAGACCCTATCTCAAAAAGACCAAAAATAAAAAAATAAAAACATCCATCCAGCCGGGCGTGGTGGTGCACACCTGTAGTCCCAGCACTTAGGAGGCAGAAGCAGGCAGATCTCTGTGAGTTCAAGGCCAGCCTGGTCTACATAGTGAGTTCCAGGACAGCTGGGGCTACAGGGAGACCCTGCTTCAAAAAGACAAAAAAAACCCAAAACATCCATCCATCCATCCATCCACCCACCTACCTACCAACATACCAACCAACCCATCTATTTGTGTATGTGTGTGAGTGCACAAGTGTCCCACAACAAATGTGTGGAAATCAGAGGACAACTTGAAAGAGTCCGGTTGTCTCCTACCACATTGGTCCTGGAGATCTAGCTTAGGTTGTCAGGTACTTGGTGGCAAGTACCTATACCTGCTGAGCCATCTTGCCAGCCTCCTGTATCTTGTTTGCTGCCACTGCCATGCCATCACCTCTCTGCATTCTGTCTTGCAGCAGGAGAGCTGGGATTACAGACAGGTGCTGCCATATCCAGCTTTACAAGGGTTCTGGAGATCTGAACTCTGTTCTCACATGCTCCCATTGCATGGGAAGTGCCTTACCCACTGGGACAGCTCCCTAGCCCCAGGAGCTCTGTTCTAACCACATGAAGATGATGTTACTCATATAGTCCTTTCTACCAGGAACATAACATTCTTTCATCCTCAAGCCAAGTTTACCTGGGGAAATTCTCCCTGGCACAGAAGGGCATACGTGAGCTGGTGAATGAGTGAAGGTTCACACTGGGTTAGGCGAGGGCTCTTTCCACAAGGCAGTTGGGGAGTTAGCTGGCCCAAACCACTCTGTTATGTATGGCCTTGGCCTGACTTAGGTAAGCAGGAAGTCATTTGGGACCTCAGGCAGTGGGAACACAGATCTTGGCTCCCCCCTCTGTTCCCCTTTCAATACCAAATCAAACAGTTGCCAAGACAAAGCTGTTTAGGAAGCTTCAGGCACAGAGACTGAAAACAGTGTTAGTGTCACTCTGGAATCCCAAGGGGTATGGTTACTGACCCGTCACTTAAAGGACCTTCTTTACTGGATCATGGACAAGGTGGTTTTTAGAGAGAAAACAAAAAAGACAAAAAGAATTATCTGTGACAGAGTGGGAAATTCCAGGCTGCAGTGGTGAAGGTCTAGAGTAACAGTGGCATGTCTGAAATCACAATCCACACCCACTTCAGATGCCAACATGAGGGTGACAGGCATGCAACTGAAGTGGCCAGAAGGGACAGGCTGGCAGCAGCCACAGCAGCCAAAGGTACAGCTCAAACAAAACCCCAAACACAGACAGTGCCTACGAGGGACACGAGTTGTCGCACAGGCTGCAGCGTGGGGTCGTCAAGGATCAATCCAGCTGCCACCATGGGCATGATGGCTGTAAAAAGCCTGCTTCCAGAAGCAGACAGAGAAAATAAAGAGAGAGCAGCATGACCAAGAAGCCCCCACCACATGACCCCACTGGAGGCTGTGTCCACAGTGAGTGCGATGGGCTGAGATGTGTCCCCCATCTCCCAAATCCGTATGCTGAGGTTCCTCAATATGTGAGCCATGTAGAAACAGGGTCCTATGGTGGGCACAGTGGAGGAAGTGGGGGGGGGGGGGGAACTCAGATAACTCAGAAGGACTGTGACCTTACAAATAGGAAACCATTTGGACACAGACTTGTGTACAGGGGAAACCTTGTCCCAATGGAGGCAGAGATGGGGGGACACACTTTTATAGGCTAAGGATGGCCAAGTTTATCAACCCCTAGAGGAGAAGCAGCCTAGGACAGCCTCCTTCAAGGAATGGGTCCTGCCAACAGATACTCCTGACCCCAGAATTGTGTGTGTGTGTGTGTGTGTGTGTGTGTGTGTGTGTATGAGACAGGGTCTCATTATGTAGCCCTGGCTGGCTTGGAACTCACTATATAGACCAGGCTGGACTTGAACTAAGAGATCTGCCTGCCTCTGTCTACCAAGTGTGATTAAAGGTGTGTGAACCCCACACCCAGCTTTTTTTCTTCCTCCTCCCCCTCCTCTTTTTAAAAAATTTATTTAAAGGTGGTGCACACCTTTAATCCCAGCACTTGGGAGGCAGAGGCAGGAGAATCTCTGTGAGTTCCAGACCAGCCTGGTCTACATAGTGAGTTCCAGGACAGCTGGTGCTACAGGGAAACCCTGTCTCAAAAAAAAAAATTATTTTTATGTGGATGAGTGTTTTGCCTACATGTAAGTGCACCCTTGCTGTGTCTTGCAATATTTGTGGAGACCAGAAGAGGGCATTGGATGCCCTGGAACTGGAATTACAGACAGTTGTTAGCTGCCATGTGGGTGCTGGGAACCAAACTCAGGTGATCTGCATGAGCAGCCAACACTTAATCATCTCTCCATCTTCTTTTTCATCTTTTTTGATACTGGGGATGAAACCCTGGGCCTTGTGTATTCTGAACAGTGAGGTATGTTCCCAGCTCTTTTTTTCTTTTTTTTTTTTTTTTGAGGAGGGGGATGGGGATAAAACATGGTCTCATGTATCCCAAGCTGGCCTCAAACTTATTATGTAGCTAAGAATGACTTTTGAACTTCTGATCTTCCCTTCACCTCCCCAAGTGCTAGGGTTATATATCACCACACACATTTCATGTGGTTCTGGGATTAAACCCAGGGTTTTGTGCACGTTAGGTAAGCACTTTACCAACTGAGCTACAGTCACAGCCACCAGCCTGTTTAAAGAAAATTTACTTTGAGACAGGGTCTTAATAGGCTGCCCAGGCTGATTTTGAACTCTTGATTCTCCTGCCTCAGCTTCCCATCACTATCCCCAGCTGACCCTGGACCTCTGGTCCTAAAGCCATGAAACAATAGAAATGTTAAGCCCTCCCAGTCTGTGGCATTTTGTTGAAGCCAACCAAGACTCACAAAGGAAGTGACAATCCTGAACAGAGTGGCCTCCACTCCAGGGCTGAAAAGGTAGGTGTTAGGTGAAGGGAAAAAGTGCAGTTATCCCACACAGCTGCAGGCTCCTGCCCAGGGAGTGAGCAGAGCCAACCAGAGGCAATCAGGACAGTGACCAAAACACATCAAGAGTAGATGGCCATGTGTCCCTCTTCTGGGCAGTGGGAATGAAGATGGGCCCCTCTCCCTTCCCTTTTTTTTTTTTTTTTTTTTTTTTTTTTTTTTTTTTTTTTTTGGAGACAGGGTCACCCTGTAGCCCCAACTAGCCTGGAACTTGCTATGTATACCAGGCTGGCCTTGAACTCACAGAGATCTACCTGCTTCTGCCTCTCGAGTGCTGGGATTAAAGGTGGGTACCACTACCTGTTGAATTTTTACTGTATTTATTTTATTTTGCCTGCATGTGTGTAAATACACCCATGTTATACAATGTCCACAGAGGCCAGAAGAGGGTGTCAGAGCCCCTGGAACTGGAGTTAAGGATAGTTGTTGGCTGTCATGTGGGTACTGGGACCTGAACCTGGGTCTTCTGTAAGAACAGCTAATGCTCTTTTACTGCTAAGCCATCTCTCCAGCTCTCAAGTATTCTTTTTTTTTTTTTTTTTCTTTTTGAGACAGGGTTTCCCTGTAGCCCCAGCTGTCCTGGAACTCACTATGTAGACCAGGCTGGCCTCAAACTCAGAGATCCACCTGCCTCTGCCTCCCAAGTGCTGGGATTAAAGGCGTGTGCCACCACGCCCAGCTTTTTTTTTTTTAAACTGGCTGAGAAAAGACATAAATCAGACATAAGGTCCTCCCCCCCAACCAACCCAAGGTTGCGGGTGGGGAGGACCTTATGTTTGTCTGGACCACCCATGTGCCCTTCACAGAGGAGCTGGGAGCCACAGTCCACTTGGAGAGCTGTTCATGATGACTCTGAGAGGTACTTTCTGCTAAGTGAGCAGGCCAGGCTGCCAGGCACGGGAGGTTTTGGGGAACTCTAAACAACACCCCTAGGTACCCACTTTTCCAAGGATACCTGTGCTGGATAGCTTTAGTTGTCAACTTGACACATACCTGGGTAGAGAACCTCAAGTGAGATATTTCTTCCATTGGAATGGTCTGTGGCCACATCTGTGGGGCATTTTCTTGATTATTGAGTGATGTGGGAAGGCCCAGCCCACTATGAACAGTGCCACCCTCGGCAGGTGGTTTTGTGTTGTATAAGAAAGCAGGGTGAGCAGGAACCCAAGGAGCAAGACAGTCATAGTAGTATTTCTCCATGGTCTGTGCTCCAGGTTTCTGTCCTGAGTTCTTGCCTTGGTTTCCCTTAATGAAGGACTGTGAGCTATAAGCCAAATAAACCCTTTCCTCTCCAAGTTGGTTTGGTAAGTGTTTTTGTTTTTTTTTTAAAGTAAAATAGTGGGCCACCGCGACTGCCAAGGGTCTCACTTTCAGTGCCAAGTTGGCAGCTTAAAGTCTGGTAAGTGTTTTGTATCACAGTAATAGAAAGTAACTAAGACAATACCTGTGCTGGATAGCTTTAGTGTCAACTTGACACACCTGGGTTAAGGGAGCCTCAATTGGGGAATTACTTCCATTGGACTGGCCTGTGGCCATGTCTGTGGGGCATATTTTTGATTGTTGTGTGATGTGGGAGCTCCCAGCCCACTCTGGGTGGTGCCACTCCTGTGCAGGTAGGCCTGTGTTGTATAAGAAAGCAGAGTGAGCAAGGGCCAGAGGAGCAAGTCAGTAAGCAGGTCCTGCCTCCAGGTTTCTACCGAGTTCCTACCTTGGACTCCCTGATGAACTATGACTGGGAGATGTAAGCCAAATAAACCCTTTCCTCCACAAGTTGGTATTGGTCAGAGTATTTTGTCACAGCAATGGAGAAACAAACTAGGACAATACCCAAATAGAATCCTCCCATCTGAGACATCATTGTCCCAAAGCAGGTGGCCTCAGACACCTATATGGATCCTTTGCCCACCTGCAAATGCAGGGGTCATGCCTATGGCAGGAGGACCTGGGTCACCTGGAGTGTCCCAGCTGACTGTCTCTGGTCCCACTAATGGCAGTTCCTTCCTGAATTACTTCTTCCGGATCTCCTACCACTTCTGGAGGTGTAACTGGCCTAACAGAAATGAGACGTGTGTCAAGATCTGACTCTCAGACTATTCAAACAATGGACCCCCTCAAAACAGGAATTTCCCCAGGAAGGGAATATTTGTCTCAAGAAAGATTTACAACTTGTCAAACCACCTTAACAGGATAAGACTGAAGCCCAGACAATGATGGATCAATGGAGGACAGGGCCACACCCTGACCAAGACTGCTGAGATGTGCACATCCCTTGCCCTTTATTCAAACCATTCCCTTATTTCAGAACCCTGGAAGGTCAATTTGGGAAGGTGTTGCTGAATCTTTCCAATGTGGTGACACTGAATACATTTTTTTCTGCTTTTCATGATTAATTTGGCTCTTAAATTGGCTTATTAAGGACAGCAGCTGAACTTGGCTGGTTGGGGCACAGGCTGTGATCCTCAAGTCTGGTAACAGGGACAGCCATTCTCAAGACTGTTAGAACTGAAAGTCTATGTCTTAGGTACAGTGTAGCTGGTTTTAACTGCTCTATCGCTGGCATTTCTGGAATACTAAAAGCAAATGAAGTGCTAACTTTTGGCATTTCATGGGCGGCTTTGAAGAAACTATTTCTGGCTGAATTGAGAAGAGGTGGGGGCAGAAGGCCAGGGACAGAACACATTGACATCTGTGCAGTTCCAGACAGGGGCAGAGCCTGCTCACAAGGCCAACCTTTCCGGTCTCTAGGGCCAGCTGCAGCCTTCCTGTCTCCCTCCAACCCCTCATTCCTGCCAGGCAGAGAGTCACCCTGTGCATGCCTGGGACCAACTGCGATATAGGGACCACTCAAAGGGGATGCTGGTGTTTGGTGTTTGCTGGGGACAAGGCTGAAGTTACTTGAGGCTCCCTTGTGACCTCTCAGCCGTGCCAAATGGTCCTCTTAGGCCAGTGGCCGCACAGTCACAAGCTATTCCTGGACCATCTTCAGGCACTCTGTTTTGACTGGCAGCGGGACTTTCTGGTTCCCTGTTGTGTCCAGCCCAGAAATGTCGAGTGTGATGTCTGGGACTCAGAGTGCATTTGAGAGATAAGGGACTTGGGCCATCAACCACCAGCTGGGACATGGGAAAGGGAGAGAGGAGAAAAGGTGGGAAGGGACTTTATGCAGACAAAAGATTCAGTTCAGAGGCCCGGCTTTGAGTCATTCCAGCTGTATAGCTCTTAATGGAGTCTGTGGCATCCCTGAGCCTCAGTTTCCTATCTGAGAAATGGGGATAATTATCCCAGCTCTGTGACTCAGACCTAACTTAAGTGTGGTAAAGCCCCTTCAACTAACTGTTCCTGGTGGTTACTTAACTATTAGGTGGTGGTGTCAGCTGGGAGCCCCTAGGGGCATAGCACTTCAAGATGAGCACTATTTAAGTAGGACAGACAGAGAGAAACAGACAGAGCAAAGGGTGCTCAGCTGTGGGAACCATGTCAGTTAGGATCCGAAGATGCAGCCGTGCCTGGGCTCCTCCCAGCCTCACAGGCCAAGGATCCCAGTCAGCTCCAAGGACAAAGGCGATCAGTGTCCTGCCTATGCTGGTCAAAAGCCCTTTGTGCCCACTGGCTGCCCTATCATCCTGTAGAGGGCCAGGTCCCACAGAACTGGCCACCTGCTCGGCATAACACGGATGGGCAGCGTGGTCTTACTCTGTCTTTGTCTCTCTGGAGCTGATTCTCCAGCCTGGGTTAGAGAACCAGACCTTGCCAAGCTAAAGAGGAAAGGGGCTTTGGAAATGGAATAATCTGGAAAGGAGGTGCAGACACTGAATCCTAGTCAGGCATGGAAGTAGGACCACTGTCCTGTGGATTTTACCCTGTTTGAGCCTGGGGAAAAAACTTAAAAAATTATTATTGTGTGTGTATGATGGAGGTGGGTGTAGCATGTATATGGGAGTCAGAGAACAACTCTGGGAGTGAGTTCTTTCCTTCTATTTTTATGTGGGTTCCAGGGATTGAACTGAGGTCCTCAGGCTTGTGCAACAAGTGCTTTATCTGCTAAGCCATCTTGCTGACCTATTTTTGTTGTTTTGTTTTGAGACCGGGCCCCTCAGTAGCCCTAGCTGGTCTGGAACTTGCTATGTAGATGAGGCTGGCCTTGATCTGCCTCTACCTCCCGAGTGCTGGGATTAAAGGCATGCTCCACTATGCTGGGCTCCGTTTTCTCTGACAAAAGGTTCTACACAGTTAAGGCTGGCCTCCAACTCACAATCCTCCCCGTCAGCTTTCACATAGTATGCCCTACCACACCTGGCTAAAAAGTCAACTGCTTAAAAATTTTTTTTTTTTAAAAAACAGGGACTCATGTCTGGCCTCCAACTCACTATGCAACTGAGGATGACCTTGAATTATGAATCTTCCTGCCTCCAAATCCCAAGTGTTGGGATTACAGGTGTGCACCACCGTGCTCAGTTTCAAAAAGCCAATTCTTAATGACCTGTTCAGAGGAAAGGGGCTGGGACAGAATACTAAAAATCAAGAAGACCCCAGCTGTGACAGTTCTTAGAACGACAGGCGCCCACAGGTGCTGGAGGCTCAGATCACTTCCCGAGAAGGTGCAAGAAGGGTCTGTTTTTTTTTCTGTTTTTTTGTTTGTTTTCTTCAAACAGGGTTTTGCTATGTACCTAGGCTGGCCTGGAACTCTCTATGTAGACCAGGCTGGCCTCAAACCCAAGATATCTGCCTGCCTCTGCCTCCTAAGTGCTGGGATAAAGATGTGAGCCATCATGCCCCTGGCCTCGGTCTGGTTCTTAAGAAGCTGAGAATGGAGACTTCCGAGTGCAAAGCACGGGTACCCTGGTTCTGTACTTCCTGCAGCTCAGGTGGGAAGGGCTGGGTCCATGAGGCTTCTAGAAATTTCTACACAACTAAACCCAAAAGCTGGAGCCATCAAAACATACAAGACTGACTTTTCTGTGGTCCTCACCTGAGTGGGGCTGACAGGTGAATCCAAGTTTAAGCCAAGCCGACCTCCTGTCTCACTGGGCCCTGGATGAGACTCTTAGCAAGGGTAAGAGTTTTCGTGGTTACTGAGTAGCTACAGGATCTAGACTGAAGGGCCTCCTTACCCCCAAGAGGAAGCTCAATGGGACAGTCATCCTTCTGCCTGGCACTCAGATCTTGGCCTATGAGAGCTGAGTAGAGCTAAAACTACTTAAAACTTCAGGGATGAGAGCTGGTTGTGGTGGCAAACGCCTGTGATCTCAGCACATGGGAGGTAGAGGCAGGAGTACCACAAGTTCAAGACCAGTCTGTGTTAATGTCAAGTTTAAGGTTAGCCTGGGCTACATAGTGAAACCCTGTCTATGACACAAATCTGACAACCAGCATACTACTCAGATTGGTTTAGGAATGATCACATGTCCCAGCAAAGCTAGTGAGAGTTAACTGCAACTTCTTGGCAAGAAAATCTCAAGAGTTTCAGACAGAAGAAAAAGGAATCACTGTTGTTTGTCTGTAGTTTTTTTTTTTTTTAAGTTATTTGTTATTTATTTATTTATTTATTTATTTTGGTCTTTTTGAGACAGGTCTCCCTATAGCCCCAGCTATGTAGACCAGGCTGGCCTTGAACTCACAGAGATCCTCCTGCTTGTCTCCCACATGCTGGGATTAAAGGTGTGCACCATTCATTCATTCATTCGTCTTTTTGAGGCATGGTCTCCCTGTAGCCACAGCTGGCCTGGAACTCGATATGTAGACCAGGCTGGCCTCGAACTCACAGAGATCCGCCTGCTTCTGCCTCCCGAGTGCTGGAATTAAAGATGTGCGTCACCATGCCCAGCTTATTTATTATCTTATGTGTATGAATGTATTGTCTGCACATATGTAAGTGCACCCATGCCGTGCAATGCCCCTCGGAGGTTAGAAGAGGGTGTCAGGGGGCTAGAGAGATGGCTCAGTGGTTAAGAACAATGGTTGTTCTTGCAGAAGACCCAGGTTCGAATCCCAGCACCCACATGGCAGCTAACAACTGTCCATAACTCCAGTCCCAGGGAATCCGACAGCCTCTTCTGACCTCTGCAGGCATTGCATGACACAGGTGCACTTACCTACATGCAGGCAATACACGCATACACATAAAACAAAAATAATTTTAAAAAATTAAATTAAAAAAAGAAGAGGGTTTCAGATTCCTTGGAACTAGGGTTATGGATGGCTGTTAACTACCATGTGGATGCTGGGATTCAAATCTGGGTCCTCTGCAAGAGCAGTCTGTGCTCTTAACTGCTGAGCCATCTCTCTAGCCCGTTTTTTTTTTAGAAAAAAAAAAAAGAGACGGTCTCATTCTGTAGTTTAGGCTAGCCTCAAACTCATGGCAATCCTTCTGCCTCAGCCTGCCAAGTGCTGGGATCACAGGTGTGAACCCTCACATCTAGAGAAAACAGAATCCTGAGCTGACAGCTGCCACCTGGGTCTGCAAGAGCACATCTGGGAGTGGAGCCCACAGATAGGAAACTAAGTCAAGGGCAGAGGAAACAGGGCTGGAGGCACAGCCTGGACAGTTCTGTACTTAAGCACTTCCAGTTACTTGAGTGGAGTCTGGTTGGCAGACAGAAGCCCATGAACTAACCTGTGGTGAGAGTGGTGCTGGGAAATCGAAGAAGCTTTTCTGATTCTGTGCTTCATCCCTCAAGGTGTTTCTCTCAAATCATAACTGGGGACCACATCCCTTCCAAATCCATCAGGAAGCTGCTGTCTGTCTGCTCCCTGGGGCCCACTGTATGAATGTAGTGCCACTTCCCAAAGAAGCGGGTCTCACAAATAAGCCTGGGTTCCACCAACTGAGAACCAGCTCCACATGTCCCAGTGTCCCTGGAGTTCAAAGGATGGGATTATGGGTAATACTCTACTTCCCCTCCGACCCCACCCCCACAGATATATCTGCTTTCTCAAAGTCTCTTTGGATTTGGAGAGATGCCTGGGGCCTCTTCTGTTAAAGTCAGAAGGTCCAGGGCCAGTGCATACATAATGTATTCAGTGGATAAATAACTATAGAATGTATACATGGGGCAAACCTGTACCACCCTGGCTTTTTTTTTTTTTTTTTTTTTTTCCTAAGAAAGGTCTCCAATAGTTGAAGTTTGGCTTTGAACTCCTGATCCTCCTGCCTCTACCTCCGGAGTGCTGCGATTACAGGCATGGGCCACCAGACCCATTGACTTGTAGCTGGAGTTTTCAAGTTCTGAAAATGTACAAATCTACTCTTACTCCAATTTACTTACTGTGCCAAGCCTGGAGCCACACCCCAACCAACTGGCACACTCAAGCAAGCTCCTGAACACCAGCCACAGGTCTCAGCGTCCCCAACCCTCCAGGTGCTCCCCAAATCCCTGACTAGATACGACAGAAAGAACTGGCAGCCCAGGCAGGGAGATGAACTGAGAGGTGGGGCCAGGCCACGGTGGTGGGAGCAGTTCATTTTAGCAGCTGGGATTAGCAACAAGCCTGAGGACAAGTGCCCAGGAGCTGAAGTCAGAGGTTGAAGGAACTGGATGAGTCACACCTCAGCTCCATTAAGTGCAACACTTACAGTCGCTTGATCCCAGACTCCGGCTGAGGGGATGTTCTTGAGTGTGTGATGGGTGGAGGTTGGGGTATTCGACTTTCCTCTTCCATTTCTTCACTGGAAAAATTGGAGAGGCATGACAAAAATTCAGTAAGAACTGGAACATTATAGAAGAGTACTATCTGATGGTTTGATAGGGTGCAAAATTTAGGGATGGGGAATATTAGGCTCAGAAATATGGCAACAGGGGTCTCTACTCAAACTCTTTGCCTGAGGGGCTAGGCTAGCTCTGAGGACAGCTTACGTAGTTGTCTATGGTTCCAGTAGGCAATTGGGAAGAATTTAGGAAGGAGACTTGGATATCTTGCTCCCTGTTTTGTTTCTTGAGATTTACTTTGTTTTTATTTATGTGTATGCCCGTGTCTCTGTGTGCTTACGTGCATGCAAGTGTAGTACAATGGAGGCCAGAAAAGGGTGTTGGATCCCCTAGAGTTACAGGCAGTTGTGCTGGGATTCGAACTTGGTCCTCTCCAAGAGCAGCAAGTGCTCTTAACCACTGAATCATTTCTCCAGCAGCTCCTTCCCTGTTTTTTTGAGACAAGTTCTCATATACCCTAGACTGGCCTCAAATTTTTATTTGTCGCTGAGGATGACTTGAACTTCTGATCCTGCTTCCATTACTGGAGTGCTGGGATTACAAGTGTGCACTACCATGCCTGGTCCTTTTTACTTTTTGCTCTGCAGGACTTCAAGTCCTCCACCCTCCTGTTTCAGCCTCCCAAGCACTGAGATGACAAGAGTATGCCATTCCAGTTCACTCTGATTTCAGCTAGACAGACCCACCCCGGTTTCCTGTCCTCACAGAACGCTGATATCATTCATCAAACGAAGTACCTGAGGGGCTGGAGAGATGGCTCAGCGGGTAAGAGCACTGACTGCTCTTGCAGAGGACCTGGGTCTGATTCCCAGCACCCACACAGTGGCTACGACTGTCCTTAACGCCAGTTCCAGGGGAATCCGAAGCCCTCTTCTGACCTCTGTGGCATTGTACAACATGGGTTCACTCACATACAATGTAGGCAATACCCTCATACACATAAAAAAAATATTAAAAAACAAAGTAGCTGAACTTGACCCAATCTGGAAGGCATGCTCTGGTCCAGTGATGCCTCCTCCATGAAGCCTTCCTCCTTCATCCTGTCACCAGAGCCACGTTTGAACATCCAGGCACTCTCTGCACAAGTGTGTCAATAGAAGACAGGTGACCGGTCTTGTGATTTCTGTGCATCTTGTAGTCTCCATTAGCACACCTGGCCTTCCTCTGACTTTCCCTTCATCTAATATTTCTCTTTAAATTTATTTTATATTTTTATTGAGACAAGGTCTACTATGTAGCATTGGCTGGCCTGGAACTCAGAGATCCACCTGCCTCTGCCTCCCAAGTGCTGAAACTAAAGGCATGCACTACCTCGTCTAGCCCCACCTTTAACTATTTAATTTTTTGGTGTGTTTTGCCTGCATGTATGTATGTGAACCATGTCACGCCTGGTGCCCACTGAAGCCAGAAGAGGGTGTCAAATCCCCTGAAACTGGAGTTACAAGTGGTTGTAAGCTGCCATGTGGGTGCTGAGAACTAAACCCAGGTCCTGTGCAAGAATACCTGGTGCTCTTAATGGCTGAGCCACCTCTCCAACTTTGGCTCACATCCTTTTTTTGAGAAAAGGTCTCTCAATGAGCCTGTAGCTCACTAATTCAGCTAGACTGGCTGGCCAGCACCTCCAGAGATTTATTTGCCTGTCTCAGGGGCTGGAGTTACAAGTGTACACCACTGCACTTGGCTTTTTACCTGGGTGCTGGGATCTAAACTCGGGTCTTTGTGCTTTATTGACTATGCCACCTGCCCAGCCCCCAAGACATTTTTTTTGGGCAATGCACTTGGCAGCAAAATGTCAATGGAGTGTTCTAATGCTGTGACCCTCATTTCACCTAGAGGAATGTTCGAATCCCCACTGAAAGATACTCATGTGCTTGATTTGGGGTTCAGTACCAGACCTCGAAGGCACCATCAGCCCACCAGAGGTTATTTGTATTAGGGATGGAACCCAGGGCCTCTGGCACCCAGCCATGCCAGCCCTCTCACCTCTTGTAGTAGGCCAGCTCCTCTTGCAGCAAGAACACTTTGGACTTAAGCTCGTTCCTCTCATGCAGCACGTCACGCAGCTCCTGCAGTGTGAAGCGCGGGCGGTTCGGGTCTTTGAGGTCCAAGGCTGCCTTCTCAGCTTCTGAGATGCATTCCTCTCCACCAGGCTGTGTCTGGAGGAGGCAGAGATAATGCTAAGGAACTCCCAGCAGCCCCAGTGGCACCCACTCCACATCCTGGGCAGCTATACTGCACCAAGAGGGAGCTGGAATTTTCCACCTCCCTAGGATAAGCAGCCTGCTTGGGGCACTATTTTAAGTATTCTTGGGTGGTGGCCTCCTGCTCACCTTTTATACAGTTTCTCTCTGGAGTGGAAGCCGGCCACCACCTGTTTACCTTCAATAGCCAGCCTGCCTGGACTCCCACCCCACTCAGATTTCTATTATGAATAGGCAGAGGCGTTGGCAGTGAAACAGCTCTGCGCCTCCAACTGCCGCCCTCTGCAATCTGTTGCTCTTCCTTTTTTAGCTCCCCCTCTCTTATTCTCACTTAGACCTTTGCTAATCTGGTCAAACTGGGTAGAATCACAGCCTAGACTCAATTCTTGGTTCCTTTTTCATTTGATAAGAAGTCATATTCACTTTCTATGACAGGTATTCTGATCAAGCCCCTCCCTTCCCAGAAGCTCCTGGCATCCTGCCCTGCGTTCAGTGCCTGGCAGAGGGGCACACTTTGGCATCTATCCTTAATGCAAGTTACACAGATGGATCTGACTATCATTCTGAGACACTTGCCCTGAGTCAAACTCTAGCTCACTCCCCACCTCCTTCCAGAGCCCAGGAGTCTTTAAAGAGCTTGTGGTAACAACACAGTTGATCATTTTAGCCCTTTTGTACTATATCGGGGTAAGATGGAATATGATTGCAGTCTTAGCACTTGGGAGGCTGTGAGGCAAGAAGACTGCCTGGAGTTCAAGGTCAGCCTGGGGTACATGGTGAATCTGAGGCCAGCCCGGGCTACACAGTGAGTTCTAGGCCAGCCTGGGCCACACACATAGTCTGAGGCCAGGCTGGGTTACATAGTGTGAGACCTTGCCTCGAAAAACTATATAAAAAAAAATAGTCTTGGGGCTGGAGAGATGGCTCAGCGGTTAAGAGCACTGACTGCTCTTGCAGAGGACCAGGGTTTGATTCCCAGCACCCACATGGTGGCTATGAACCATCCTTAACTACAGTTCCAGGGAAATCTGAAGCCCTCTTCTGACCTCCGAAGCATTGCACAATATGGGTGTACTCACATACATGCAGGCAATACACTCATAAAATAAAAATAATAAAAAAGTTTCATTCAGTGGCACTTAATACATTTGTACCTCTAATTCTAGAACATTCTCAGCACCCAAAGGAAAGCCCCATACTCATTAAGCAATCGCCTGTAGCTATTCCCTCCCTCATCCCTGACCCATGTGCTGAAGCCTGCTCTTGGTCTCTGTGGACTTGCCATTCTAGACATTTCCTATAGTGGAGTCAGATGAGACGCGCCTAGTTCATCTGCCTCTTTCATTCTGCATCTGTTCCATGCACACTGCCAGAACTTCACCCTTTCTATGGCTTGGTAATATGGTAAGGCAGGCATGCATGGTCTACCCCTCCAGTTGATGGACACATAGGTAGCTTCCTCAGTCTGACTGTGAATCCCAACGTCCAAGCCCCCAGTTGGATAACTATCTCCCATCCTTAAATACACTCAGTTGTAGATGGCTGTACCTCACCATGGCTATCTTTAACTTTCTTTTCTATGCCAAATTGTTGCCCACAGTGGTTGTACTATTTTACATTCCAATCAGCCATGCCCTTGGGTCCCAATTTGTCCACATTCTGTGCAATGCTTGTTTACTATTTCTCTACCTATTTGGGAGGGTAACATGTGTACCACAGTGAGTATGTAAAGGTCAGAGGACAACTTCTAGGAGTCAGTTCTTTCCACTATGTGGGTCTGGGGTATGGAACTCAGGTCATCAGTCTTGGCAGCAAGCACCTTTACCTAATGAGCCATCTCACCAGCTCATTATTTTCTTTTATGGGGGAGACAGAGTCTCACTCTGTAGCCCATGCTGGCCTGGAACTCATGTCAATCCTCCTGCCTCAACCTCTTGGGTGCTGGGATGATGACAGGAGATGGTGACACACCATCTTTCTCTTCCTTCCCCTTTCCTTACTTGGTGCTTGGCCTGTGCTCACACAAGGGATACCACTGCGCTCTACACCCAGGGTATTTTACTTGTGTGTGTGTGTCTTACTGAGACAGGGTCTTCCTGTAGCCTCAGTTGGCCTGGAACTCACTATGTAGAGGAGTCTGGCCTTAATCTCATAGAGATCTGCCTGCCCCTGCTTCCTGAGTGCTGGGATTAAAGGCATGTGCCACCATATCAGGCTCTCATTTTACTTTTTTTAAAAAAATGTTTT